CTGGACGGCTTTGGGGGAGAAGAGAATCAACTTCTCATGGACCAGGTTGAACTCCAACATGTTCTTCGACGGGATGGTGACAAACAGGAGCTCACTGTAGCTGGTGGAGGTGGGGGGGGATGTGGAGAAGACAAAGGGGGCCCTTGGTTAATTGCTAATTGCAGTGGGTTTGTCTAGACCAGGGGGTCTCCAATCTTGGAAACTTTAAGCCCGGCAGAAAGCTGGCTGGGGAATTCTGGGAGTTGAAGTCCAGACGTCTTCAAGTTGCCAAGGTTGAGAAACACTGGTGTAGAGAATATGAGTTGCTCCATTCTTAATGTTTTCTGAGCTGGGTGGTTTTCTGTAGGTTTTTTTAATTATTATCAATGCGTGAGAAGTAACATTTTTCTGGCTGTCTTTATTGGCGTGTGCTTAAACTCATGCCTTCAGGAGGTCACTTAGACTGGTAATGAAACATTTTTTGTGGGGGGGAACCACCCATCTTGGATAAGAGTAAGAAGTCAACCCCATTTTGTTTATGGAAAACATTTAATTAGGAATGTCTATCTGATTATAAGCTGCCAGCAGGCCTCAGCAATCTGGGTGGCATAGAAAGTTTAATAAACTACTCAAATATAATGGAGTTCAACAGCATTGCATCACACCAAAGGGAAACATTCACCCTTAAATAACCTGCCCAGAGAGGAATTTGAGGTCCAAGTTAACTCGGGACGCACCTTCCCAAATGACCAATGGTTTAGAGGAGCATCATTGGCAAAATTACATGCCACTCACCTGCCGAAAAAGGAGATCCAGCAGAAGAGGGCTGCTGATAGTCTCCTTTGGGTAAAAAACCTGCAAGGAAAGAGGAAGATTCTGAGTGTGTGTGTGTGTGTGTGTGTGTGTGTGTGGGGTGTGTGTGTGTGCAGGGCTGCCCCCAAAGGCTCCAACCAGCCCAGCATCTTCCTTATAATTAATGGCAACAGGGCACGATCTCTAGAATATTTATCTAAAATATTTGCCTGCCGCTCAAAGATAAACTGCTACTGAACTTGGAGGCTTGATCTAGCTACCAGAGCTTATTAGCCATCTACAGGCTTTCCTCCCTCTTCTCCTCTTCCTCTGCCCAGAAGAGTTCCAAGATTAGAGGGATGTTCGGTGCTTTC